ACCTAGGAGCCATGGCCTCCAACCTAGGAGCGATGGCCTCCAACCTAGTAGCGATCTCCTCTAACCTACGAGGCGATGGCCTCAAACCAAGTAGCGATGGCCTCCAACCTAGTAGCGATGGCCTCCAACCTAAGAGCTCCAACCTGCTAGTGATGGCCTCCAACCTAGTAGCGATGGCCTCCAACCTAAGAGCTCCAACCTGCTAGTGATGGCCTCCAACCTAGTAGCGATGGCCTTTAACCTAGTAATGATCTCCTCCAACCTACTGGTAGCGATGGCCTCGATGGCCTCCAACCTAGTAGCGATCCCCTCCACCCTACTAGTGATGGATAGTGATGGCCTCCAACCTAGTAGCGATCTCCGCCAACCTACTAGCGATGGCCTCCTACCTAGAAGACATGTGTTTGGAGTTTTCAGGAAGTGGATGCAGAAGAGATCGCAGCCGAGAAAGAATCGGCTGAAGAACGCTTGCAGCAGCTTGATGGCCATCGACCTCGCTGTGAGGCCTGTTCCGTTCTTGTCTGAAGAACTAATATATTTTCATTTTGTGCTTTTCCTTTCAATTATGATCAAACTTTTTAGTTTTTTTACAGTAACTAGTTTATATAATATTCGATATAAAGCTCCTTTTCTATTCCGACAACGGTGACGAGCAGAGTTGGAGGAGCTGTTGCGTGTGCTTGGCCCAGATATTGCAAAGAGAGGCGAGACACGAGACGTTTGAAGGAGGGGTGGGAGAGGGGTGAGAGAGGTTGGAGACGTCTTCAGTAAGACCCTTGCTACTAGTGATGCAAGGTACTAGTAGCTTCTTGCTACTAGTAGTAAGGCACTAGTAGCAATGCCCTTATGTGTATGTTGTATGAACACATGCTTGAACTGTAGCTTGAATTAGGAACCGCTTGCAGAGTGGTGTTATGTCACAACACCTGCACGGGGCTCTGAAGCGTAAATTGACACCAATCTTCTTGCCCCATTTCTTTCTTTGTTTCTTTTCTTTTCTTGAACTTGTTTTGCCGCGCATTCTGATGGGCAATGTCAGTTGTCGCGCCGCGACCGCCATGGTTTGCGCGCAGGTTGATAACCTCACGGTTACCGTGTAGCGACTGCAGTGTTTCACATCTGCATTCTGTTGAAATTCAGTTGCGTCATCAAGCTTGCTCAAACCATGGGAGATTGCGACCTTGTTTCCCTTGTTTGCAGTTTCCTACCTCTGGTTGGTGGGGTGCAAAGCGAACCGTTTCCAATCCAACGATGTCCTCCAACCTACTAGCGACGGCCTCCACCTACTGGCGATGGCCTCCAACCTGATAGCTGTTTTGATGTGTACTTTATAACGACAAATTCGTCCAAACAGCAAGCAGTTGGTTTACTTCTCCAGGAGCATTCTGCCCACCACCATCTTGGGCCAACGGTGGGGGAGACTGGTCTTGCGGGGTGGGGGTGACACGAAGTGCAACGCAGTGGATTTCTTCTGGAAAGAACACGGTCTCGAGGGAGGTCCAATCGGACGATGCTCGGACACGAGTCGAATGCAGTCGCACAGTGAAAGCAAGCGGCTTTTCTCAGTCTTGAGCCAAATATGTCGGTCAAGCCATCAGGTGTGAGACCAATCAGAGGTTAAAGCAGAGAAAAACGAAACACAGGGCGGGGTGGGGTCAGTTTCGTCCGTGTTACTACTCGCGTACATCGACTTTGACGTTGACTTGTCGACTCCGTGACCTTTCGTTCGCTTGGTGGACTACTTGCTTTTCTTGGCTTACAGGACATGACGGGCTCAACGTTCGAGGTTTGCTTGTGTTTGTCGTTGGTTCTGCTGTTGCGTTTGGCCGGTTTGAGGTGCCCTTCCCCCAATGAGGGTCTTTTTTACGGCAGACTTTCTTTTGGATGCCCACATTGACGTTTGGGTTGGGTCCGTCAAAACGCATTCAACTTATCGTGTTGCAACTCACGATAAGTTGAGTGTCCGGAAAGCAACGAAACCCTGTAAAGCACAGGGTTTTTTCCCCTCGGTATGTTGCGTTCGGGGCTAACCCCCCCCCGTTTACCCACCATGTTGGTAGGTGTGTTGTCAACCACAGTCGGGTTGTTTGCGGCGCAGGTTGTTTGGAGGACTGGGTTGCGTTGACCAACAGCTCTTTCGAGGCATGGATGACAGCTGCGGCGGTTGCAAGTTCCTGTTGCAACATATTGACAACATACTTAAAATCTTTATTGGCCCCCCTAGAAGCGATGGCCTCCAACCTAAGAGAAATGGCCTCCAACCTACTTGCAAAATGTTGACGACAAATTGTTAGGCTGTACTTGTTGCTGGGCGAATTCCTGCAAAAACTTCTTCCCTCAGCTGATGGTGTCTCCATTCCAAGCCTCGATCCCCAAAAGGATCTACCAAAAAATGTGCCGGAATCGAGATGCGTGCGTCGGGCATGAAGACATCGAAACCGGTAGGCCGAATTGTTGGAGAAGTTGTTGGTTTCGCAGTCAAAGGAGCAGGTCGGACAACGAAAGACATCAAGCATCAAAAGACATGTTTCAATGCTTTCGACCTCAAGTTGCACATGAGTTCTATGCAGTTTGCTGTGCCCAATTGCTTCACCAAGGGCTCCATCACTTCTCCAGGCCCAGAACCTTTGGGAGCTTCACGAAGCTTCGAACTCCATGGATTTTTTCCGCCGAACGGTGGCAGCTTTGGCTATGGGGAAGCCCGAGGAGGGAGAGAGAGTCAAGAACAGCAGAGGAAGATATTTGCGCAGGCATTGCTAGTAGGTTGCAGGACATCGCTAGGAGGTTGGAGGACTTGCTATTTGTGCGTTTTCTGAGAGGACCGGTCTTGTTCCGTTTGCATGGAAGACGACCTCCCATTACAAAAGCTTGCAATTACTCCGTGTGCTCATGCATTTTGTCCGTGCCTTTGAGAGAGGAGAGCGCAAACATGAAAGCTAAACTTATTCAGTTTTACGGGCACCGAACACATTCCGTGCAATCAAGCTGAGGTATCTCATGTCTTCGAGATATTGTGGCCAAGTTCAGCAAGTGCAGCCTGTGCCAGGGTCCATGTGATTTGTTCAATTACTTGTGCAGATCTGACTTCCTTCCTAGGCCGAACGAGGTGAGGGAGCAAGCAAGCAAATTTGACCAACAACATTTTTCACTTGTTCTGAGACATGGCCCGAGTACCAAAGCATATGCGAATCTATACACAGATATATAGCCCCCCGCCCCCTCCAAACCGGCGGTTTTTGCATGGTTGATAACAATAGCACTGAACATATTAAGAAGAGCATATGTATTCCATTGGTATTTTTGGATGGCTTATTTAATTTAAAGAAAGAGATGAATATAATATGCCCATGAAAGAAAAGAATATTATGGTCATTAAATATGGTGCATTCTTATGTTATTTCCTTTTCTTTGTGTACAACATACTTAATGTAGATCAAACAAAAAGGTATTGTATTCTTGGCAATCCACAGCCTGAATAGCAAAGAGGGGGGAAAATAACTAGTGGATTGGCAACATTATTTTATTTTACTATCTTGGATTTTTAGGTTAAGACACGCGTAGAAAATCCTAGATATGAAAGTGAGTAACTATATGCATGAATTTGCCTAATGAAATCTCTTCTAAAAACCTGCATATGAAAATAGATGATATGAACAATCCCATGACATTTACTCCAAAATCTCTCATTGTAAGTTTAAAGGTCCACATTATTCATTCCATCCATTAAGTTTATAACAAAATCTAATAAACAAATTAAGGGTGTACATCTCTTTCCATTTTCTCCACTTTTTTTTAAATTGATATCTCGTACTTGGAGAAGATAATTTAATTCAAGCTAAGAGACATATTGACATGAATTTTATTGGAACAGGATTCACTTATTAACTTATTAACATTAAAGTATTAAACTGCTGGATTCCAATTCCATCTCATTTTTGTCCTTCTTTGCTGCCTCCAGGATGTTTAATGAACGTATTGTTTTCCCGATATCACCTTATGGACACAGATACCAATAAAGTCATAAGGCGATATAGGATAGACAGTAAACAGACATATGACATCAATAGTTTTTATCACTTCAGAAATACCTTTACAAAATTTTTGATGCCCCAACATTAAAATCACCAATTGCCTTCTGACTGTTCTTGTTTGTCGTGATTTTAATGTAGAATCTTGATATTGATTATTCAATTGTTGCAAGAAAAAAACTTATTGGATGCAATACATGCATTTCTTATATTTGGCATGCTAAAACATAGAAAGATATTGATTAACTAAAGATAAGACATGCATATTGTTAGCTCCTAAGAGCAAGGACGCTACTAGTAGCTCCTGGCCTTACAAGGAACAAGACTCCAGGGTGACCTTTCCATTGCTTACAGCCGCCATGTCTGACTGGGCCCAACCTACCTGACCCTGATGACCCATCAATCTCATCCTTTTTGATTGATGGGTCATTCACTCGTCATTCATTCATTCATTCATTCATTCTTCAATAGAAGAATGAAGGTGACAAAGACAACCATCAGACATTTTACTATAAACACATATAGAAACGAGATTACCAGTATTGTTCCTAATCACTTCCTTAGAAACATGCCTGTTGGAAGAGGCAAATCTTGAGGTTGCAACCGGGGATTCACCATTTGCTTTTTTGGGAAAGCGCTGGAAAGGATACAATGCACTGACTTGGAAAGCACTGGAAGAAAAGAAGCAGGCCATGGTACGTGTACTTTCTGGATTGAAGAAGGAAGATTCCACCGAAAGTCCTGGCGAATCTGAAAATTGAGAGTTGGCGGGGATACCGGGGATACCCGAAAATGACGTGCAAACTGGACATTGGCATTGAACCTTGCAAGGCCTTGCAAGTTCCGGATTGAAGATTGAAGATTCTGGAAAAACTTCTTCAACCCAGGGAATTGGATTGAAGATTGAAGAATTTCAGGCCTGGATTGAAAAAGATTTTCCAGAATCTTCAATTTTCAATCTTCAATCCGGACCTTGCAAGGCCTCGCGAGGTATTTATTTGGGTGCCGTGTCTTCAATTTTTCTATTGTATTGATTTGTATGCGTTAAAGATATTTGTTTACCCCCACACATCTTTTGCGAAACCATTTCATACACAAAATGCAGAACACATGTCTTTACCTGATCTTGATACCTAAGAAGCAGGGGTATTTGGGTCGGGGTACTCCCAGTCAGCAAATGCAGCAAATACAACATCCACTATAATGTTGACCAAATGCATTTTTTTTTCTGGGGGGGTGCCATACAAAAAATGTATTTATTGAGAATGTAGGTTTCATCAGTAAGAACAGCATTGATCCAAGGCCAGCGTTCTTTAGCGAAAAAGGATGTTTCGGACCTCAGCATCCTCAGAGCTCTCAGCTTTTCTTCGTTCTTGAGAAAAGAGGTGAAGAGGTAAAGAAACATACCATTAGGAACAAGAACGCTACTAGGAGCAAAGGGCATCGCTACTAGGAGCGATCGGACGCTACTAGGGGCTCCTGGCCTTACTACTAGGAACAAGAACGCTACTAGGAGCAAAGAGCATCGCTACTAGGAGCAAGAGGACGCTACTAGGGGCTCCTGGCCTTACTGCTAGGAACAAGAAGCTACTAGGAGCAAGGATGCTACATACCATTATTTTCAGATTGATCAAACATTCGCGGCTTTCTGAGGTCAGGGCCCTGGTCAGTGAGTTGGAAGGGGCGCAGGACAAAGAGCCGCCGCAGGAAAACACTTCAGGAGAGGTAAACGGATCTGTGAAGAGTGCCGTGGTCATTGTGAAATAACCAAAAATGAACATAATACATCACGAAAATAGTGGCCTCCAACCTACTGTAGTAGCGATTGGCCTCCAACCTACTAGCACTGTCTTCACCATCACCTAAATCACCGACTTTTGCTGTCAGGCATTCGTTTGGACAAGTATGGCACGAAACTCGCGGTCCTGGTGAGCTTAGCGAGCTCATGCGAGCAATGTGCAACGCAATGTTTTCTATTAGGTTGGAGGCCATTTCTAATAGTAACAAGAAGCTACTAGGGGCCCCTGGCATCGCTACTAGGATCGTTCTTACTAGAAGGAACAAGAAGCTAGTAGAAACAAGTGCCACGCTAGTAGTAACAGGTGCCTTACTAGTAGTAACAAGGACGCTACTAGAAACAAGAAGCTACTAGGCACAATGGAAAGACCCATTTTTGAGGTTCAGAAGTTCAATGACCTTCGGCGTCAAGATGGGGAAGCAAAGGCGGGTGGAGCTTAAACGGGTTGATGGTACATACATCGGTCACATAGGAGCTAGAAGCTACTAGTAACAAAGGGCATCGCTACTAGCAGGCAAGAAGCTATTAGGGGCTCCTGGCATTACTAGGAGCAAGAAGCTAGTAACGTCCAGCTATATTTCAGAATTGGACTCATTAGACCATGCCTAAACTCGTTGACGCTTGTCCAGATCATCTTGTTTGTGCAGTTTGACGACTTGAAGCGAAAGGCCGGTTTGTTGGAAATTCAGAAAAACTTGACATGTGACTGAAGAATAGGGTTGAAATCAAGTAGTGACTTGTGGGCACGCTAATAGGGGTGAGGCCATCGCTACAATAGGGTGGAGGCCGTTGAAATCAAGTGGTGGCTTGTCGGCAATGATCGTGGACAGGTTTGCACAGCCTTGAACGAGTTCGGCATTCCTTGCGCAACGCTCCAGGGTTCTGTTGGCGAGCCGCTTGCTAAGCACATCTCAAGCAAGTTCAAGTATTCTTTGGTTTTTTCTTTAGACCTTTCTACGTTCGGAGCAAGGAAGCTACTAGGAACCCGGGCATCGCTACTTGGAGCAAGGACGCTACTAGTAGCTCCTGGCCTTACTACTAGTAACAAGAAGCTACGAACGTAGCTTCCTTTCCTCTTTTTCTTTAGACCTTTAGACCATTTTCAATTTCAATTTGGCAAATGGTGTCATTTACTTTTTTGACTTTCAGTCTCTCACTTCAGAGGCGAGCTGGCATCATTCGAGATTGGCAGAACAACCCGCAGTCGGACACGTTTGTCCTGCTTTTGTCTTTGGCGCAATCTGCGTCAGGCACATTTGACTACCAACTGTATTGACTACTCATTAGCTTCACCATGCTTCACCAGCAATGACTTTCACTGAACATGCAAGCCATTTGTGATGTGGAACACACTAAACATATGCAACAGGTTTTCCAATTAGGTAGTAGGTTGGAGGTTATCGCTATTAGGTTGGAGGCCATCGCTATTAGGTTGGAAGCCATCGCTCGCTATTAGGCTGGAGGCCATCTCTATTAGGTTTGCGGGCCAGCGCTATTAGGCTGGAGGCCATCGCAGTTAGGTTTGCGGGCCATCGCTATTAGGTTGGAGGCCATCGATATTAGGTTGGAGGCCGTCGCAATTAGGTTGGAGGCCGCCATTGATAGTAGGTTGGAGGCCATCTCTATTAGGTTGGAGGCCATCGCTATCAGGTTGGAGGCCATTGGAGGCCACTGCTAGTAGGATTGAGGCCCTTGCTAGTAGGTTGGAGGCCATTGCTATTGGGTTGGAGGCCATTGCTATCAGGTTGGAGGCCATCTCTATCAGGTTGGAGGCCATTGCTATTGGGTTGGAGGCCATTGCTATCAGGTTGGAGGCCATCGCTATCAGCTTGGAGGCCATGGCTTTTAGGTTGGAGGCCATTGCTATTAGGTTGGAGGCCATCGCCATTAGTTTGGACATTGCTAGTAGCTTGGAGGCCATTGACAGTAGGTTGGAGGCCATTGCTATCAGGTTCCTGAAAGTTGATTTCCAAGATATGCGGCATCCAGTTTGCCTGTAGGTACAAACTTGACTGCGGCAAGTCACGTGGTGTTTCTCCATCCAATGCTGGCTCCTGCAGAGCGTGCCGTCGGCTATGAAATGCAGGCCGGCAAAATGAAACGTGTACTCGAATAAATCACAACTTTCTTTTCTATCGAAACTTCAGCAACAAGCACCAGACAAACTGCAACGGCTCACTCGGGTGCTGTGGCACGCAGTGTCTCACCTGGGACAGGGACATCCAGTGTGGTACTTTCAGATGCCAACCTATGTTTACCTATGGGGTGCCAACTTAGAAGCGATGGCACCTGGGGCCCACATGCTGTTTTTGATAACTTTAACAGCCATGCTATGGCCATATTTGTGTGAAGTTCTGAGCCGGGAGATCCCAGAAGTCACTCCGTGTACGCTACCGACCCCTATGAGCCGGAGTCGCCGGAGTATGAGATGCCGGGTCTGAAACTGTTCTAATGGCGACGAACTGCCACGGCCTCCATCTCTATAGAAAACTTTGGCCTCTATCTGAGCTCAATACACAAAAAATCAATACTGCAGGGAAAAGGGTTGGGGTAGCAAAGTACTAAAAATGCAAAAGGTATGGTGGAATTACTTGGGCATAAGGGGCCAACTATTCCAAAACAGGATGCTCACAGCGCTGGTTTCTGAAAATGAGAAAACGGCAGTATGACATGGCATGTCCTTGGCACCATGCGGTTCAAACCATAGGATCCTGAGCCTTACCGCTTGTCACCTTTCGCGTGTGCGGAAACATGTTTGTGCTTTGACCCGCGGTTCGAGCGTTGTCGAGTTGGCGCCGGAGCTTGGCTTGGTGCTTGCGGCCTGACTGGCCTTTGCTGTGGCGAGCTCCCCTGGCGCGGCTGGATCGCTACGCTCACCGGCTCCTCGAGTCCCTCGATTACCTGATTCAGGACGCCAAGATCGTTCTGGACTACCTGAATGCACTCCTGACCGGTCTCGTCAATCCGGGAAGGAGGACCAGAGCTCATCTCAAGGCTCCCGACATGGAAGTATGAGGGCTTTTGCAAAGTTCTCAAAGCAACATCTGGCGCCTTCAGATGGAGGCTTACGCCAGCAAGATGGCTCATTGTCATGGGAGTGGATTGCCGTTTTGGAACTTGTTTAACATCAACATGAATTGGTCACATCGCCAAGAGCTACTTGAAAGCTTGCAGGACGAAGAGCGCATTTTTTGGTGCAGTTCGCAGTGGACATCGCGCTCATGCAGTACAAGGCCGGGCGCTAATTCTTGCTGGAGAACCCCCTCGTACAAGCTGACGAGGCGGCTGACCGTGGCGCCTACCTGAACCGGATCATCTCCGAGCTGATCTATGCTCAGCCCTCTCACCGAGTTGGCTGCTGCATGAACTACGCCCAGGCCACGGACGCCCGCTCGCTCTACGATGCGATCATGGCTGAGCCGCCAAACATCTTGGACAAAATGTTCGTGGTGAGCTTGGTTTCAGGACCCCATGGATGTCTTAGCAGACCACCCGCAAAACGCAGAGCTCCTGAACCGCCTTCATGCCAACAAAACAAAGACCAGTGAGAAAACGGCAGTATGACATGGCATGTCCTTGGCACCATGCGGTTCAAAACATAGGATCCTGAGCCTTACCGCTTGTCACCTTTCGTGTGTGCGGAAACATGTTTGCACTTTGACCCGTGGATCGAGTGTTGTCGAGAGAAAAAAGCGTGTCTTCGCTTGACGCCAGGCTTTGATGTGTGTTGCTTTTCAACTGGGCTAAAAGGTTTCGATTGCGTTTGTTCAACAAACTGCAGGCCTTAAACAAGTAGCAAGACTCAGCTAATCTTCAATACAAGTTCCTAATGCGTATACTGCAGTTCAATCAATCTCTTCAGTACGTCTCAATCCTGCTTTGTGGCACGACCTGTCAAGATGACGGCCCTAGCCTTATTGAACCTTCCTGAGCAAAAACACACGTCAAAAACATTTTTCGCTTGAACGTGGAGAGGAAGGGCCGTCGCCGCACCTGGGCCACAAACTCACAACTACTAGTAAGGCCAGGAACTACTAGTAGCGTCCTTGCTCCTACACTGCTCGTTGACGCTTTTGCGGCGCAGTGCCTGCCTTCATAAGCCGCCACTGGATGCTGCGAAGCATGTCTCACACTGCCACGAACTCAAGCGCCAGCGCCGGAGTCTTCGCCTCAACACTGCGAACCACACAGGACGCAGGACGCGTTTTCAGTGGCGCCGATAAGGAAAAGAACAACAAAACAAGAAAACTATTAGTTTCTTATTCCTAGTAGTAAGAATGCTAGAAATAGTAATGCCAGAGCCCCTAGTAGCGTCCTAAGTCCAGGAGCCCCTAGTAGCTTCTTGTTGCTGGTAGCGATGGCCCACTCGTGCATACTTTTGGGCGGTCGTGGAGACGCCAAAACCTCCCGTCCTAGGAGCAAGGACGCTACTAGGGGTTCCTGGCCTTACTACTAGGAACAAGAAGCTACTAGGAGCTCCTGGTAAGCGTGTTTGGTCCACTTTTGCGCAATTTCGCTGTAAGGCCATAGGGCGAGCCCGCCGTCATGGTCAACGACGTGACGTGGTTCACGTCTGGTCCGGGCCTTAGCTCGGTCGAAACCCATTAGGAAGCGTCTTTTTTGATAGCGTCTTTGCTCTTTGTAGTATGGCCAGGAGCCTTTTGTAGCGTCCTTTGCGATCATTTACATCTAGTTTCGCGCTTGCACTCACCCTGAATTCAATTAGTGAAAGCTTCTTGCAGTTAGGTGCAAGGTGCCTGCTTAACCAATAGGCCTCCAACCTCAAAGCGTCCTCAAAGTTTCTTGCAGTGCTTCTCCGAGGAGATTTGTGACCGCAGACACTTTGGAGCAGCAAATCACCGAACGGCATCAAGGTGCTCTTTGGGCACTTGAGCAGGAACGCCAAGCGCGGGAACAATCTCCAGCGCGTCTCAGACCGTGAAGAAAAAACTGTCGAGTTGCCGTCCGAAATGCTGTTTACTACTAGTAACAAGTGCCACTAATTTGTTTAATTCCAATTGAGTTTAATTCTAATTTGTTACTAGTAACAAGTGCATCCCTAGTAGTAACAAGTGCCTTACTGGTAGTAACAAGAAGCTAGTAGAAACAAGTGCCTTACTACTAGTAACAATAAGCTATTGATTCTATTTTAATTCTTATTGTTACTAGTAGTAAGGCACTTGTTACTACTAGCGATGCATTTGTAATTACTAGCGAAGGAATCTACGGGGGTGGGGGGAAGCTACTAGGAACAAGTGCCACGCTAGTAGTAACAAGTGCCTTACTAGTAGTAACAAGAAGCTAGTAGAAACAATACGGTAATAGCTAATAGCTTCTTGTTGCTGATTAATTTAATTCTAGTTTAACTCTAATTTGCTTTGATTCTAATTTGTTACTACTAGCTTCTTGTTCCTACTAGTAACGCACTTGTTGCTAGTAACAAATTAGAATTAAATTAATCAGCAACAAGAAGCTATTAGGAACAAGTGCATCGCTAGTAGTAACTAGTAACAAGAAGCTAGTAGAAACAAGTGCCTTACTGCTAGTAGCAATAAGAATCAAATTAGAATCAATAGCTTCTTGTTACTACTAGTAAGGCACTTGTCACTACTAGCGATGCACTTGTAATTACTAGGAAGGGAATCTACTAGGACCTTTTCGCGCGCGGGCGGGGGGGAAGCTACTAGGAACAAGTGCCACGCTAGTAGTAACAGGTTCCCTACTAGTAGTAACAAGAAGCTAGTAGAAACAATAAGCTAATAGCTAATAGCTTCTTGTTGCTGATTCATTTAATTCTAGTTTAATTCTAATTCCGGAGAGCGTCTGCGAAGGGTTCTTCGTAAAAAAACATCTGCAGAACTACACCTCCTCTACATCTTCACATCTTCACCTCTGCACATCCACATTCTCACTTGTATCTCTGCTCATCTTCACATCTACATTCACAACTGCACATCTACATCTCTGCTCATCTTCACACCCTCACCTCTGTGCATCTCTGCTCATCTCTGCTCATCCTCACATCTACATCTCACATCTTTACCTCTCATCTACATCTCACATCTTCACCTCTCTTCTTAACTTTCTCTCTTAAGGCCGGGGGCAGTGCCGCCGGACCGCCGCGAAACGCAACCCTCTGCGGGGATGGCGCGCGTCGA